TATTCCACTTGATCTAAATATCAATCTAAATATAATTGGGGGACATATAATACAATTGTGAGGGAACACGAAATAAAACACTCGAATTATAGATGCAAATAATTAGCATAACGTTAGACTTCAAGATGAATGGTTTAATAAATAATCAATTAATCTTAATCAATGAATTAAAATACTTCTATAATTTAATATTCCGCGCACAAATATTTTATATTACAGAAAATATTTCGGCAACGAGAGACTTATCAATAACACTGTTTTCGACCTTGATAAACAGAATCGCGCTATTGTTAATATGTGACACGGCTTTATTATCATTCGCACAGAAACCTTGAGTAGTGACGAAAGAAATGTTTCACATATTATCAAATTCCTTCTTCACATAACTTTGACGATATAAACAGTACCATGATAATGTTTCTGACGTACGATCATTCGGTCAATGGCTCTCGAGCAGTGAGGTAGTGACGTGAGACGTTCCATATATTATCAAATTCTTTCTTTAACTACAATTGCAAGTACAACGAGGAACTTTTCGTGAATGAGTGTAAGTGCAACGTGGAATTCAAATGACTGCAACCATAATTGGAGTGCCATGAGAACAAAGTAAAACAAAAGAAAAAAAGAAGGTCTTGGAAATGGACGGATCAATAAGATGTAAAAAATTAATATTTTTATAAGTTATAAAATTTATATAGTATAATACAAAATTAATTATATATTATATTATATATAAAATTATATATAATATAATATAACCCTTTCATGGGGTACACCTTGTCGTGGTGGGAGGGCTTAGTACTTGGATGGTGCCTTGAGGTTTATTTAAAATTTTTCATTTATGATAAATCTTAAGGTGCCTGAATAGGAAGCTAAGTACTCTTTCGCGTCGTCGGTGCCATCAACGTGCCGCGGATGGCAAGCGCTTCGTCAACGCGTTAGGTATATACATATTAGGAAGTGCCGTTAAAGGTATATACATATTAAGTATATACATCGCGATCAAATATAAAATTTTTAATCGCATTGAAACAGTGAGGGAGTGCCGTTCAGTATCGTGCGTAAAATAACGACAATAGCGATATAAAAATACCGCTCGCGAGTGCGGGAGTGTCGTTAAAAGTATCGCGCGCCAACATGAGAGGAGGAGGAGGCTTGGGAGAGGCATCTTGCATCGGCGGAGCAACCTGATGGTGAATATTTATTATTTTTATATTAATTGGTATCAATTGTACCGATAATAATTCGGTCTTATTATTTAAATGAATTAAAAAGAATAAAGAAAAAGATTTTTATAAAAGTCACATAAAATTTTATATTTAAAAAACCGATTCAATAATTTACAAAATTTTTCCACACGTATTTATCTCTGCTTATTATTTTAAACATCGGATATAAAATTTCGAACGATAAAAATTTGTTAAAATATTGATTCCATTTTGTGAACATTATTATAAATGAATTTTATATTTGTATGTTATAGACGTTATATTTGTATGTAGACAACTAGCTCCGATAACAACAACTCCGCTGTTGCGCATCAGTGCCGGTGAGTGAGAAAAACTTTTATTTAACTTTAAGATAACGGATTCGTAGACATTGTAGATGTAAATGCAGATGTAGATTGTAGATTGTAGATTGTAGTATCCGTTGCCTTAAAATGGATGAGCTAGGATAGATTAAATTAAATAATTATTAATAAATTTTTTCGAAATGCTTTGCATCTATTGCGAAAATCTATTGAAGTATTAATTAAAAAAAAGAATTAAGAAAAGAAAATTTTTTAAATTTATTAAATAAAGAGCATGCATTAATAATTTTATCAATTTTATCCATTTTTGATGCTACTTTATTTTTATAACACGCACTTATTTTATTCTAATTTCTTATAGCTCATCCATCGTAGAATTTGTTTGTAGATATTATTTTTAAACTTTAACTTAATATAAAGCCAATGATTAATTAATTAAATAATTTGTAATATGATAAAAGTTATACAGACACATGAATTTTATATTTTATTAGAAAATATAATATACAGAAATTTGTAGTAATTTGGCTTTATTTGAGTTAAAATAAAATTATATTCAAATATTTAACGAACGATCGTAAAATCGAGCGATCGTTCGACGATGAGCGTGAAATATTTACGCTCATTTGCCGGTAATTAATAAGCAAAAGAAGGAGCGTTTATCTCTTTTTTCGATCTCTGATTAGAGATCGAGGAAGAAAACGGCCAGGATCAACGAAAGATAAATTCAACTAGCCTGAAGAAAAGATTTACATACAATATCACGTTATGTTGGACATTTATTCACGCGGTTAGGGCATGCGATTAGAGAATGTAATTAGGGCACGTAATTTAAAATATAGGTGATTAGAGATAGGCTCGAATAATTTCACTTAATCGAGAAATAGGATTGTTAGGGCTATCAGGTGATTATTAAGATTTTTTAATTTTCCTTTCAAGAAGAAGAGGATTGTTAGGACTATTAATTTAGGTGATTAATATATTATGTATCTTTTAAAGAATCAGCAAATGTAGGTTAAATAATATTCGGTAAAACAGATTAATAAATATTTCAATAATTATAATTAATAATAAAAATATAAGACTCGAAATATAAAATTAAACAAATCAGTTTTAATGGCAATACGAGTCAAGTGTCGATCTTATAACACAATTATTTATTATACAATCAAATAAGTATGGAACAAATTATAAAGAAAAGTTAACGAACGTTTCGACCCTATTTTTGGGCCATCTTGAGCGAAAATGTGATGATGTAATAAAAAATAACAAAAGGTTTTATATCGGAGTCAATTATAAAGTGTGCCGTCTAAAATAATAATAAATGCTTTGGTATCTCATTATTTTGACGATGCCTGTAATAAAATCAGTCAAATTTATCAAAGAAAAAATTATTTAAAATTAAAAAACGAAAAGTGAAATAAATAATGTAGTAAATAATGTAAACTAAAAATAAATAAAAAAATAAAATAATGTAAAAAAAGGATTGTTAGGACTATTAGGTGATTATCAAAAATAAAATAATCAAAAATAAGATAATGTAAAAAAAAAAGATTATTAGGGCTATTAGGTGATCATTAAAATTTTTTTAGAAAGGGACAAATATAATAAGTGATGGTAATTTTTGATGTTAACACAAAGGAATACAATAAATATAATAATCCAAGAATTCAAAGAAGAAAATATATTGAATAGAAATGCCTAGTGATTGGAAATGATTAGAAACTAAAAATTAAAAATAAGAAAGGTTAACAGTCTGTATACAAATATAACAGTCTGTATACAAATAATACAAATTTAGAAAAGAAAGGCTTTCGAACCGTGACGTAGGATGGTAGTACGAAAAAGTAATTAACAATTGACAACGCAAGACAGAGCCACTAAATTAAAAAATGATTTAATAAGCCAAACTCTGTCAGCACAAAAAACTATCAAAATACAATTTAACAGACAAACGCACGTTTCGATCTTCTACAGATCCTTTTCAATGTTATACAAATAATAAAGATATAAACGCTAAAATTAAGACATTAATAAAATTAGGACCTTAATAACGGTTACAAAATATTTGAATGCATGAATTAATGGTCGGTACGCTTGGTAGAAAACGCAATTTCTGAAGAAAAGAAGAGAGAAAAATATCAAGCAAAAAAATAAAAAGAGACATAAAATGCTGTAAGAGAGAAACTAAAAGACAGTATGCATACAACCTATTTATTAATAGTAATACTATTTTGTAATTATATTAAATTTTATAATTTAATACATTGTATTTTAAAGTATTAAGCATAAAAGTTATGCTGGTATGAAAATTATAATCATAATATATAAATTATAATAAAAATAATAATAAAAATATATAAATAATGTTAGCTATATTAGAATGGAACATATGATAATTCTTCATACAGTCAAACCTGATTAAGTGAGATCGCAAAGGACAACTCATTTGATTCTACTTAAAGAGGTATCTCACTTATGCAATTTTTCAATTATCCAGGTTTAAAATGCGCATATCTCACTTATAGAGGTAATTATCAAATAAAAATACGTACATAAATTAAGTGTTCAAATAAAGTTTATTATGCAAATAAGCACTATGTCATTACACATGTGAAAAAATGTACAATGTAATGCATTGTAAAAAAAAATTATTTAAAAAATATCTGTTATTTTCGATAACGCCATACACAACGTTGCAATGTAAAAACGATAATAATCTTATTTACACAGGTTTTCTATGGGGTCGTCTCAATTATAGAGATAATTATTGTTATGAATTGCTAAATATCAGTCTTAATTAAAGAGGCCGGGCATTCCTATTTACAGAGTTTTTTGCAAAAATGTTGGGATCTCAGAAATAGTCTCAATAATAGAGATTTCTCTCTTATCCAGATCCCACTAGGGGAGGTAATCAGGTTTAACTGTATTTTATATAGAGGAAGAGACTTAAAATATTTTGTAACATCTATATTTTTCGAGTCTTGATTATAAAAACTTCAGAAGAAATCAGTGATTAATTTGACATATTCTATACATGTATGAATAGTTAAATTTTTAAATAATTAAAAAAGTGATTGATAAATATCAAAGATCAATTTACTGCTAATTAAGAAGATTTATAGAAATACAGTTAAAAATGTTTTTATCCCACAGCAGGTATTTTGTGTTTTGTAAATAAAAAGATATAAGTATGACAAGGAATATAGAAAAATATTTATTTCATCTTTGAATATTACATATTATCTTTCGCGATTGAATAATTTATTTATTATCAATTTACATACATAAATATCTTGCTATCGACATTTCATGCTCATAACACGGAACAAAACCAGAAATTGTGCATTATATATTACCCTCTGAGAACATTCATGGACTATGGCTTTGTAATTCATGTCCATGTTTTCAATGTCTAGAGAGAGTATCGCTTTCAGGGATCACCTAAAAGCAAGCCATGACATCTCTCAGTCTTCTCTCTGTTTCTTTTTTATCAAAATATAAATAATCCATACATAGCAGAATCAGCCGGTGAAGATTTATTTATAATTAATAATACTGACATAATAATGACATTAATACAATTCGAGACGCTACAGGAAAAGATAACAGGTAATATAAAACGACATGAATTAATAATAATAAAGCCATGTCTAATAGTCTTTTCACGATATCATGAATGTCTTGAAGCATCTTAATTTAAGTCATTAGCAAGTAATTAGCAAAATAACAATTACATCAATCATGTGTTGTATTAATCATGCTAAATTTTTTAAACGATTCATTAGTTTTAATTATTGTCTCTCAAACATTTTCATCATCACTTAAGTGGCGTTAATAAGCACAATTTTATGCATAATATAATTTATTTGCGATTGAACAATTCAAGAAATTTATAGATTACAGATCTTTAAAAAAAGAAAAATTTGTATGTTTTGTTTTGAAGGCAATTGGAGTATGAGCAAGAAAAAGAAAGGCGTTGGCAATTGCAAAGAGATGAATAGACGAAGAAACAAATAGACAGAGACTAATAAAATATAGAGAACTAAAAGAGACTAAGAAGAGGTAGAGAAATAACAATAATTAATAGAAAAATTGCTTTCCAGTAATTTAAGCAAATTGCCACAAAACCAAGCAGAATTTTATGCAGCATGAGGTTGATGTTTCAAAATCTAGTAAGTGAAACAAATTTTTCTATCACAATGATATAAAATTATATTAATCAATTTTGTTGCATCCCTTTTATTTTTAATCATAATCTTAATTTTATATACAATATGTTTGGTTTAGTATATATACTCAATTATTTTTTTAATTAATAAAGTTATCATATACTTAATTATTTTTTTAATTAATAAAGTTATAATGTTTTGAATAAAAGTTATTTTAAAGTTTAAAAAGATCTATATATGACTAGATCTACATCTATGTATGACAAAATAAGATCCTTCCACCTTTCTTTTTATTTGCTGAAATAGAAAATCCAACACAAATATAACTGCATTGCAAAAAATATATGGATTAAAAAATCAATAAAATTTACTTTGTAAATTAATAAATTTTTAATCTTTCCGCAAAATTTTAAAAGACTGAAAAAGACTGAACTTTACTTAATATTAATTCTTAGTTTTATAATTTGCACAATAGAATTAGACACATTTCTTACAATAATACAATATATTTTTCATTAAGGGATAATATAATCCATTTTTAAAACAATGGGGTAGAGATCGACAATTAGAAATTGCATCTGGACCATTACAATTTATCATACAGGTATTGCGGCTTTTGCGGGCATATAAAGCAGATGAGGATGTTAATTTCGTTTGTGAATGTGCAACCAATTGATGACCAATCAAATAATAAAAATCCTGAACCAATACACACCAGCTGACGATTCGAATTCCTGCTTTGTTCATTAAAAGAGTACAAGATAAACTAAAAGAACGCGTGAACAATGAACAGGTAAACTTTTTTGCGCCAATAAAAAGTAATTAATTTTCTTAAGAATTAATTTTCTTAGAATTAAATTAATCAAAAGAACTAAAGTCACACATGTGTATATATCGCTCTCTCAAATAGGAATAATTTATACAAAATTAACATAGCGAAAACATTTTTTGCAACACAAAATTATCTTTTCATTTTCAGCTGTTAATGGATCTAAATTATTCCTATCCTGTAAGATTTCCGTTCAATCTATCAGTCATTCGATTGGAAGACATTGAGGTACCTGAATTCTTATTTGTATGAAAGCAGCAGTACCAATAAAATCCGACTTATTAGACGCATCGAAAGCGGTTTATCGTGATATATTATCATATACATGATATTATACATGTTTCTTTTTTATTCGGATAATTTATAGATTTTACAATATGTTGTTCCAAATCGTGCTCACGTTTAAAGTCAATTCCGTTGTGCAAATAAATGTGATCGGGTCTTGATGAAAATAACCGATATTTTTTTGTTATTATTGCTGTTGTATGTACATCGAAGTGTAAAAAAAGAAAGGAATAAATAAGATTTTTATAAGGATTTTGTTTCAGATATTTCATTATAAATTTCAGTATTGAGATGAACTTTGGAAAAATAATAATTTTACCATTTGTATTATATATTTATAATATAAATGATAAAATATATATATTTTATATTTATTGTAATATTATATTAATAAATATAATATTTTAATGAAATATATTACAAAAGTATAATATTATATTGATGTATATATATAATACATCTATATAATATTATACGTTTATAATATATTACATTATTTATTTATTTATTTAATTTGTAATATATTACATTATTTATTATTTATTTATTCCATCTTAGAATTTTTAAAATAAATTTCTAATTTATCTAAATTTATTGTTAATTACTTTTTTAATTCTAGAAGATAAATATATATAAATTTATAAGTTGCTGTTCTCTTGAACCATTATTTTTTTGTGATACACACAAAGAAATATATTTATTTCATTTCAACAAAATATAAAATTGTAAAGTTTCCAAAAATAAGAGTTAATTCAGATATTGTATTTTCTTTGAATGTGGAACAATTTCTATGATTCTAAGAAAATAATAATCTAATGAATAAATATATGACAACGACAATAATGATTGAATACAAAATCTTAGGTATCTATTTATTTATTAGATTTATATATATAATTTTATTACTTTGTATCGCGAATCTTTGTAAGTATTTTCTATATATCTTAAAGTTGAAAACTTACTGAAGATATAATTAAAAAGGAAATGTATGCGCGCGAGAAATAAGAAGAGAAAGATATAATGTTATATTAATATAGATTGTATATTTTGATATCAAAGAAATAGAGAAAGAACTATGATAAAAAATCGAGTTGGAAAAATAACATAACAATGAGAAAAATAGAAATACGAAGAGGACCGAAAGAAACAGAAAAGATATATTGTTACATTTTAATTTTTATAAATATATGCCATTTTGTATTTTGTGCCATTATACGAATAGAATATTAGATATTATAGATATAATAGAATCGTAACAATATTTGCTATTTTATTTGGACTTTCATTGGTTTAACGTATTACAAACATATTGATATCAGAGACAAAAAACAAAAAAGTGGAACAGAGAGAAAAATCTTTTCTCGAGAAATGGACAGAATATATTTACAATTACATATATCTTGATATGATATATTTGGTGTTCAAATGAATATAAAACCAGTTCTTATCCCATTATTGATAACAATTCTTACCCCATTTTTTATACTTTTTAAAAGTGATCAAAATCTTTTATTATATATTCAAAATCATTTAGCAATAAATTTCTCTCAATAATTTATATATAATATAAAAACATTTTTAAATTTTTTTTTTAAAAGAGATGCAGAAAATATAAAAATATCTAAATTAAATACTCTTATACGCGATAAAATTATCTAAATTAAATACTCTTATACATTAATGTTATTAGTACAAAAATCAGAGATAATATCAATCTTTTATTGTATAAATCATGATGTTAAGTAAATAATAAAAAAAACAACATTAGATTTAAGCAAATGAAATTCATGATGTTCGGTAGCTTCCACGGATCTCCGAGAAATGAAACGAGGAGTCGAAAGAGGGAGGAAATGAAAAAAGGAAAACAAACATTCTGTGACTTTAGGTGTGATAATATGTACAACCCAATGAAGTCGATAGTACTCAGTGTCTTCGACTTTCGAACACATGCGACCAAAGCGATAGATGCTTCGTCTTCATCATCGTCATCGTCGTTGCCGTTGCTGCGTGTGTAATCGTGTTGCACAGTGATATCTTCTGACCGAGCTTCACATTCAGGTGCTTAAACCGATCGCAATGACTACGAAGGAACTCTATATTAAGGTATTATTCACGAATAGTAGTTCGGAAGATATTTGATACGCACCCTCGAGGAAGATGGCACGTTCCTGATGTAAAATTACGCGCTGAGGATACTCGCATAGGTTTCATTTCCCGAGAAAGATCGAAGCTGCGTTTCAAAGGGATGTTTCTGTTCAATGTGTCGTTTAATACATGAACATTATTTGTATTTCCAATTATTCGTTCTCGACTTGATATTTCGGATTCTGTCACTTGACAAATAATAATTTTTGACGAATTCAGGTGATAATTAAAGTTGTCAAATTATTTTCGTTATCCTGAAATTTATGAAAGATATTTGCGCGAAAATAAATGTGAAGTATGTATGTAAAATATGTTTCAAGTGCATTCAAGCAAGAGAGTTCATTAAAAGTCTAATAAGATTTGATAGCAGACTCTAAAATCTTTCGCTGCTATTTAAAATTTAATTAATATTAATGATACATTCTGGTATATGCTGTTGTAATTTAGATCAATTATATTGTAGATTATATATTACAGATAATCTACAGATTATATTAGCATAAATGTAACATAAACTTAGAAATTCTCTGGATATGTAAGACAGTATATGAGTTCTAATTACATCAATCAGAAATTTCATGGAGCTGAAAATATCTCGGTTATGCAATCAGTGAAAATTTCAGAAACGATGTCAGATACTATAGGTTTATGAATGCGTATGCGAAACTATAATCGGACTTTATTCTTACATTAATTTGTTTGCCCTTCAGTTACAAAGTTTGCTCTTCTGCGATTTCAAATATTTTGATTGAAACAAACAAGTTCTTATATCTCACTTCTTGCTTTAAACTTAAGCTTTACACACTATGAGAATCAACAATACCTGACATTGTTTTCTAAAGCTTGTATTCTAAAGTTAATAACTCTTATATCTCATGGAGACATATTTCACAATTAATATCGTCCTTCTGAAATGCAAATAATCTCTTTAAAAATAATATATATATATATATATGTAGGGTTTTAAAGATTGGAACAATACTCGTGAGGGAATAGAAAGCAGTAAATTGATCAGAGAAGTCCTTTATCATTTTTACAATTTTTACAATAATTATGAAATATTAAGAAGGATTGGCAAATGACCATACGTTATATATATATATATATATATATATATATATATATATATAATCAATAAAATATAAAATATGTCTTCATTTAATATAATTCAAGAAAATTACTCATTTCTCGATTTTAAGAATAAAAATAAAGATACTGATAGAGTAATTTTTGTTTCTTTTTTTATAAAATTATTCGTAAGTTGAACTTTATTGATATATACTTTTACAAATTAATCGAATTGCAGAATCTGTTATTCGAACAATAAGATTTATTCATCAATAAGATATTTTATTTTCTTTTAATTATAAGACTGTCATAAAGAATCACATAAAGATGATATAATTCTCGGGCTTTAGCGATTTCTTTTCAAAACTAAAATCAGCAATCACCAGAGCAGGAAAGCCATTGCCGAGAGACCTAAATTCTGACTTATACAGGTAACACGAGTAGCCGTAGAAACAACAGTTTATTTTTCGCGAATGTTTTTCTCATGTTGATAGTACGGTTATGATTAGAGGATCTGATTCAGTTGTACTTCTTATAAAAAAAGAAATAATTTATAATCGATATAATCATCAATTTTTGAAAATTACTCAGCTATTATTAAAATACGTAGAGATATTATAACACAATTTAAATTTAAAAATAATAAATAATAATATTAATATTAATAATTTAAATAATTCTTTTTAAAGTAAAAAGAAATTTATATGATTTAAGAAATATCAAGATACATACACTATTTTTGAAATAAATTTATCACAAATCTTTCAATTATATTGATTGAAATGGTAGGAATCTATAAATTATTTTATTATGTATATTATAATATATTGTATTATAATATTATATTATTTATGACAGATATAAATTAATAGATTAAAATTATAAAAAAAGGTAGTTGAAGATAACAATCAAATTACATTAAAAATACAAAGGCAATAACCACTGCGCCAAGATGAAAGTAGCAAAAAATATTAAATTGACTTATCAGCGTGAAGTCATAATGAATCGAATAATTACATGGATGTTGATCGTAGATGTAAGAAAGCTAAAGATCATAATCAAATTACAAGAATATTATTGCAAAAAAATTAACAGACTGAAAGTCGTCATCAAAAGTTACATCAAAAATTCGCATAAGTAAGAAACGCTGACAGTAATAGATAAACGCACGTTTCGAACCGGTTTATCGATTCATTCTCTGTCGAATTATAGAAAATTATAACTTTTGATGACGACTTTATATAAGAAAGTCTTAATATTGTTTTTTTAAACCTATTATTAATTTTATTTTCAATCATTATTTGACCCTCCAAACACTTACATTGCTGAATAACTTCCTATAGTCTATTTACTTTTATTTTTATTTTTATACGGTCTTACAGATTTTCTAAGGAACCATACTCAACTTTGGGCCAATTAACCCAAACGAGAGTGGTTTCACTTATGGAAATAATTGGAAGCCGTTTATAATTAACCATGAACAATCGTTGCGTCTGGAGTTGTATCTCTTTTAAGATTAGTACTAGTTTATTCTTTCTGCATTTAATTTTACTGCTTTCTTTCTCTGCGAATTTTTTTATAAAATGTTCTATCTTCGTTTCAAAATTTGCGCTGAAGATGACTTAAAAGTAAATCGAAACGTCCGTACACATCTTTAATATCTATATATATTATATCGCTTTTGTTTTGAGCTTGTATTATGAATTATTAATATATATTTTGATTAACTAATCTATATTATTTATTTTGCTCTCTACGCTTAATTGATCACTTTAATTTTTTATAGTTATTTTTGTAATGCACTCGTAAGTTTATCTGTAATATGATTTTTCATTTATTTTTATTTTCATTCGTTTTTTTAAATAAAAGATATATTCAAAATTCGTCATTATTTTATATACCAGAAAAGCTCCATTATATTATTATTTCATATTTCAACTATTAATAAGTTTTTTATAATAGAGATAAAATTTCCTTTTATTATTTATTATGTGGGTTAATTTTTTGTTCGCAAAAACAAAAGAGATCATTATGTTATTAGTTATATGTTTGATTAATGAACATTATATTAAATAGTATTATTATAAATAGAATTTTTAGATCAAAATAAAAAATTAGATCAAAACAATAAATCCTTTCCACCCCTATCGTACATAAATGATATATAATAACATTGAAAACATGAAATGACAGAAAATTAGAGCATTCGTCAACTGAATCAATATTTTTTTATTGATGACTTGTTTATGTATTGTTCGATGATATTTTCATTTAATTTAATATTCATACTTTCATTTACCTTAATATTCATTTAATTCAAAGCAAAACTAATATACATATTTCATGCGTTATCGCGTTATATAAATCTTTATACATTTTTAATAAAAAATATACTTATAACTCATCGATATATCTGTGTCTCAATATTTTAATAATTTTACAAATTTTTATATCTCAAACAAAAGGATGCGCCACACACATATTTTTATATCAAACTAGCTAATAAAACCAGCAAACGTTTGCTAACAAAAGCTAAAAAAAGCCTAATTGATTATAGGGTGGCCGAATATGGGTGCCGCATCCGGAAAAAGTATGGGAGGCCGCCGTGCTCTTGGAGAACTACAAGCAGAATCAATTGATGTTGAAAGTACAAACGGAAGAGTCAAATCAGACAAAGACATTGGAGATGAAATCAGACGTGGATCTTCCTCCGCTCCGAAATCCGGATATTCTTATAGGGAAAAGCAATCTCACATCATTGTCCTTCCTTCACGAGCCCGCTGTTCTCCACAATCTTCAGATCCGCTTTCAACGGCATTCCATCTACACTTATTGCGGCATCGTCCTGGTAGCCTTTAACCCGTACAACGAATTACACATCTATGGCAATGACACGATATGGGCCTACAGGGGGCAGGCGATGGGCGACCTGGAACCTCATATATTCGCCGTGGCCGAGGAGGCCTACATGAAATTAGAGAGGTGACTAATCGTCCAATATTTATCGTCAATATTTATCTATTGATTACATATATACAGGATGTCCTGAAACTCATAATCAATCTTTCAAAGACAGATTCCTGGGATCATCTGAAGACGATTTTTCCTCAATGAAAATGTCGCACTAATAATTTTCGAATTATAAGTGATTAGAAATAAGGGGTTTTTCGTAAATTTTGTAGAAATGTTTTATAGAAATAAAATATTAAAACGACATTCTTTGATTAATTTTAAATAGAGTTTACTTTAGTTGAGTTTTAATTTAAGGCTTAATTGCAAGGATATATGATGACAAAAATCGGGAACATGCAAAAAATGATGGCCTTTATCGACATTTTCGCTGAGAAAAAATCTTCTCCAAATGATTCTTTGAAAGATTGATTATGAGTTTTGAGACATCCTGTATGTTGCTATTAATTAAGAAGTAAATTAGATGATTTTCCTGTTGGATAAAAAAATAACGAACAAATAAATAGATAAAGAATTAAAGAATAAAAAAGAAAAAGCTATAAATAAATCTATCGAATAATTAATTTTTTATGGAATATTAAATTATTATAAAATATTATAGAATATTAAATTGCATTTTCTACACAAAAGAAAAACATATTCGAGAGATATTTTATATGCATTATACTTTTTAATAAATAAATAAATATAAAATTAAATATAGAAAAGAAAAAATAAAAGAAACAATACATACTTTTTAATAAATAAATAAATATAAAATTAAATATAGAAAAGAAAAAATAAAAGAAACAATACTCGAGAGATATTTTATATACATTATATTTTTTAATAAATAACTAAATATAAAATTAAATATAGAAAAATTGAATTAAATCATATTTCAATTTATTCATCGAATTTAATTATATTTATTTAGCAAAAAAAATATTAATTTTATTCAATTCCATTTAGAGAGAACCATGACCAGTCGATTATCGTCTCCGGCGAGTCGGGCGCTGGCAAAACGGTCTCCGCAAAGTATATCATGCGATATTTTGCGACTATTGGTGGATCGGCGACAGAGACCCAGGTTGAGAAGAAGGTTCTGGCATCTTCTCCTATTATGGAGGCGATAGGTAATGCGAAAACCACCAGGAACGACAATTCCTCGAGATTCGGCAAGTTTATCGAAATCCAATTCAACGAGGACTACCATATCACTGGCGCCAGTATGAGGACTTACTTGTTGGAAAAGTCGCGAGTCGTATTCCAGACGAACGAGGAACGAAATTATCACATATTTTATCAGATGTGCTCAGCAGCGGAACGTCTTCCCCAATTGTATCTATCCTATCAGGATCAATTTCACTATCTGAATCAGGGCGACAATCCCACGATCGACGGTGTGGATGATCTCGAGTGCTTTGACGAAACGATCAGTGCATTGACGATGCTCGGTTTCACATCCAAGCAGCAGGAAGACATGCTGCGCATTCTAGCCGCCATATTGCACTTAGGTAACGTAGAGATAAGTAATTGCAAGGTCGAGGACGCGAAGGATAGCGAGGTGGATACCGAATCCAGCTACATCTCTTCGTCGGACCGACATTTGCTGATTATTTCCGAGCTACTCGATATCGACATAAAGGCAATGCGCAAATGGTTGTGCCATCGGAAGATCGTGTCGATGCGAGAAGTCTTCCAAAAGCCGATGAACGTGGACCAGGCAATCGGCGCGCGAGACGCTTTAGCTAAGCACATCTACGCTGAGCTCTTCAATTGGATCGTGGTCGGCATCAACAATTCATTGCAGTCTCTTAGCAAAGCACAGTATTTCATCGGTGTGCTGGATATCTACGGTTTCGAGACATTCGAAGTGAATTCGTTCGAACAGTTCTGCATTAATTATGCAAACGAGAAGCTCCAGCAACAATTCAATCAGCATGTCTTCAAACTTGAGCAGGAAGAATACTTGAAGGAAAATATCGAGTGGACCTTCATCGACTTTTACGACAACCAGCCATGCATCGATTTGATCGAAACCAAACTGGGTATCTTAGATTTACTAGATGAGGAGTGTCGCATGCCGAAGGGCTCGGATGCCTCGTGGGCGGAGAAATTGTACACAAGATGCAGCAAGTCGAAGCATTTCGAGAAGCCGAGGTTTAGCACTTCTGCTTTCCAGATTCGCCACTTTGCTGATCTCGTACAATATGAGACATTGGGCTTTTTGGAAAAGAATCGTGACACTGTAATCGAGGAACAGGTAGATGTGCTGAGAGGTAGCGAGAACAAGCTACTGAAGCAACTGCTTAGCGACGGAGATCCGAAGCTGGCGGTGCCGCATATTAGGGTGAAAGTGTCCGCGCAGCAGAATACACCGAATGTATCCAATAAGCAAAATGGGAAAACTGTCGGCTCGCAGTTTCGCGATTCGCTCAACACGCTGATGGCTACGTTGAACGCTACAACACCGCATTACGTCCGCTGCATCAAGCCGAATGACGCGAAAGAGGCCTTCCTATACAATCCTACGCGAGTGGTGCAGCAGCTGCGTGCTTGTGGTGTTCTGGAGACCATCAGGATCTCGGCGGCAGGCTTCCCGAGCCAACGAATATACGCTGACTTCTTCCAGAGGTATGGCTGTCTCTGTCAATTCAAGGAGATACGACGGGATGACTTGAAGGAAACTTGTCGACGTATACTGGCCAGGTATATTAATGATGAGGACAAGTTCAAGTTCGGTCGGACCAAGGTGCTATTCAGAGCTGGTCAAGTAGCGTTTTTAGAAAAACTACGAGCGGAGAGGCAGCGGGATGCTTCCACAATGATCCAGAAAACGGTGCGCGGTTTCATCCACCACAACAGGTACATGAAGATCCGTCGATCGATCCTCGGTCTTCAGAGGTGCGGTAGGGGTTATATTGCTCGGCAGAAGGCGAAGGCTGTGAGGAGGGAAAGAGCCGCGATAAAGATACAGGCGCGCGTGAAGGGTTGGCTGCAGAGGCGATGGTATCTGCAGGTGAAACGTACAATCCTCGGTCTGCAGACGTATGCCAGGGGTAACATGGCTCGCGTTAGATACAGGATAATGAAGGACCATGCAGCCGCGACGGTGATCCAAAGATTCGCTCGGGGATATCTCGTAAGAATGGCGTGTAGAAAGAAACTTGGAGACATAATTATTGTACAGTCGTGCGTTAGAAGACGTCAGGCAAAGAAGATCTTCAGGCGATTGAAAGCCGAGGCCAAAAGCATAGAGCACGTCAGGTCCCTCAACAAAGGATTGGAAATGAAAATCATTACGTTACAACAAAAGATAGACGAATTAGTAAGTGATATCTTATTTAAGCTTTACTTATTGTAAATAGGAAAAAAAATAGACAAGAATTTGTGCGGTAAGTAATGCACAAAATTATTTTAATAAAACTTTAATCAATGCATATTGTTGTAAATTTCGGAGGTCCTTTTTTTGGATCCTTAGCGTTTAGATTAAATACAGGGTGACCCATTTTAACTTAGGCAGCCAAATAACTCGAAAAATAAGCACACTACGAAAAAATGGTTAGAATCAAAATTTCGTCATTTCGAGGGGGACGTACAATGACGTTAAAATCAGCCCCCCCACCCCTCCCCCTGGGCGGTGAAGGGGGGCAAGTTTGAAATCTTAAATGGAATCCCCTATTTTTCATTGCATATTCTTGTAGCTTATCTCGAGAGCTTTCCAAAACACTATAATTAAGTACATTTTTATTAAGTACTTTTTGAGTTATAAGGCTTGAAATAATTTCTTAATTTTACATAAACCATAAAATATCTAGTAAACCATTCATTTTTCGATTATCTTACCTTCATACTTTTATGTACAAAATAATGAGAGGAATGAATTGATGTAAAGAAAACACATAGTTGTTTCTAAGAAAAAATATGTAATTTGCAATTAACAATTCCATATTTTTTCTTAAAAACAACTGTATGTTTTCTTTATACCAATTGATTCCTCTCATTATTTTGTACATAAAAGTATGAAGGTAAGATAATCGAAAAATGAATGGTTTACTAGATATTTTATGGTTTATGTAAAATTAAGAAATTATTTTAAGCCTTATAACTCAAAAAGTACTTAATAAAAAGGTACTTAATTATAGTGTTTTGGAAAGTTCTCGAGATAAGCTACAAGAATATGCAATGAAAAATAGGGGGTTCCATTTAAGATTTCAAACTTGCCCCCCCTCACCGCCCAGGGGGAGGGATGGGAGGGCTGATTTTAACGTCATTGTATGTCCCCCTCGAAATGACGAAATTTTGATTCTAACCATTTTTTCGTAGTGTGCTTATTTTTCGAGTTATTTGGCTGCCTAAGTTAAAATGGGTCACCCTGTATAATCGTAAAGTTTCGATATTCTAACGATTCGTCGCTCTCACAACAATAAAATCACGATCGATTAAAACGAATGAATTGTTAGACATTATAATAAAAGAATTGTTGACAAATTACCTAAATATTAATATTAATATAAAATAATATTAATATAAAAAAAGATTGCATTTTTGAAATATACGAATCTATTTTCCAGGCAAAGGAAAATCAATTCTTGAAGAATATGCCAAATGAAATGTTAGATTTGAAGCTCAAACTGGATAACTTGAAATCCATCCATGTTGATAATAAAAAGTTGAAAAGATTAGTGCAGGAAAATGAGGAGGAGCTGAAAAATATACAGGAAATTCTGAAACGGGAGAGAGACGAAAAGATGGATATATCGCACGATAAAGAGAGGATTTCCCTGCAAAAGAATGAAGAAAAAAAGAAACTGCAGCAGGAGAACGAGAGATTACGAAAGGAGCTCTCAATAGCGACTGAAAAATTGAATAGCAATCAACGCGGTGCCGAGGACAATCTAAAGTATCGCCTCGAGCAAGAGAAAGATCTGCTTCGGCTGGAACAGGATCAGGATCGCGGAACTTATCAGAGACTGCTGAAGGAATACCACGAGCTAGAACAGCATGCAGAAATGTTGGAGCAAAAGCTTGTGTCACCTGGACATTCGCGTTTCTTTAGCAATGCTTCCAGCGATAGCGGCCAGACCGCATTCACAGAAATTTCACAAGACGATCAAATCGTAAGTCGATACGCTATAATATATTATTGAATAAATCAGAGAATTAGTTGTGTAAAAAAAATTTGAATTTTAATACAATTAAATGTCAACAAAATCGATATAATTTATTATTATTACATTGATTTATTACTATTATATCGATTAGAGCTGCACACTTTCCGATTTTACTGTAGGATTTTGGTTACGGCTCCGTGAGACCCATGGCTTCTTCATCAACACTTTACTCGCGAGTAGAAACGATTGACTGGAATCAACAACGATCGGACAGAGAAATTCAGATGAATAAATTGCCTTCGGAAAAATACGCATTTACCCTCGTGGACATCGATCTCGTTCTGAAGCTGCAACAGAAGCTAAAGGATGTCGAGAAAGAGAAGGGCAGATTGATCAGAATGGTCGAGGATCTGGAACGCGAGGAATCTTCCAAAATACAAGATTCGTTTAAAGTAATTATGGCAAATTTTATTTAGAGCAATAGCTCTCTTCTTCCAATTTTTTTTCGATACAATCTATTTATTTGTCTAAGTTTTAGATTAAAAATATTGTTCTAGTACTTGTCAATCTCCTTCTCCCAACATACAAGTTTGCGATATTGCATTTAAACATTATTAAGATATTATCAATATAAATTCAATAAAACTGTTTCGTTTTCTTACTGTTATTATCAGTGGATTAATGACGAGACAATATGGTTTATTTTTGCAGCTTCAAAAGCTGGAAGTGGAGAATTCGCAACTTAAGAAAGACTTAAATTCATTGAGGAAGACCGTTTCGTTGGGCAGCCCATCATTTGCGCAACAAAATCTCATGAGTAATTTACTATTACAATTTATTAACATCATAAATATATATTGGCTTTTGACATATGAATTAATCAACTTTGTATTTTTCAATATCTAAACACTGAAGGATAAGAGACGTAGATAAACACATTGTATATCTTCTATTTTCTGCTGTCTATCCTTTCTATCCTCTGAATACTGTCTTTTTATTGATTGTGTTTTACGTCGTGTTAAACTTAACAGAATGTGTTAATTATTATAATGTGTTAATTATTAATTATTATTATATTATTATGTTGTTAATAATTATAATTAAGAAAGGTATTTCTTCCATTATCCATCATGCATCTCATATTGCTTGCGAAATTGTCGATTATCACATCAATATTATCGATAATTTCAATTCCTGTTTTTAATTTTAATTCTAATCTTTTTAAAAGTTGAAAATACTCTAAGCAGTTTCATCGTTATTATAAAAATTTACAAACACTACAAAAGTCTATTTGGAAGTTATAATTCTTTAAAATACTTTCGATATATATTTATTATACATTTGTGTAATAAATTTACAAAAATGTAAATATTTGCGTGCGATAATTAAATGTTCGGCCTGCTATTAATTTTCAAAGTCACCAATATTAAATGACTATGTAAGAAACAATAATTCTTTAAAATACTTTCGATATATATTTATTATACATTTGTGTAATAAATTTACGAAAATGTAAATGTTTGCGTGCGATAATTAAATGTTCGGCCTGCTATTAATTTTCAAAGTCACCGATATTAAATGACTATGTACGAAACAATAATAATAATACACAAGAAATACAAGATAATAGTGACATAATGACATTGTAGTACAATTCGAGGCGCTACAGGAAGAATTGGAAAGAAGAAGAGAAGAATGTATCCAACTGCATAGTGTGCTGGCTGATCACACACGCAAGATGAAGGATTTAGATGCCAATTATGGTTGCGTAGACATTATAAACGAGGATGGCGAGCTGGTACTTGCTTTCGAAACGCAGAGACAGATTAACCGGTAATATAAAACAAGTCACGCATTTAACTGAGTTGACTAATAAGACAGAATGCCGTGTCTAATAGTCTTATCATTTGCTTATACACCTTGATTTTACAGTAAACTTAAGATAAAGTCACCGAGAGGAGAGTGAGTTGAGCAGATTCATTTTCCATTTAACATTTTGTTTTTAACTGTTCAATTAAAAAAAAGAGATTTTATAATTTCATTATATTATGAATGTTTTGAAGCATCGTAATCCAAGTCATTAATTAGTAAGATAACATTTACGTCAATGTATTGTGTGAATTACGCTAAAATTTTCTTAATGACTCATTAGCTCTGGTCAGTGTCTCTCTCAAACGTTTTCCTTATCATTTTTATTAGTGACGCTAATAAGTACGATTTTATGCTTAACACAAATCAGCTCAACAATTTATTTGTGATTGAACAATTCTATAAATTTGTAATTATAATAATCAAAATTTATATAATAATTAAATATTAAATATAAAATTTATATAATAATCAAATATTATAATTCAAAAAAAGCAAAACTTGTATGTTTATTATTTTGAAGGCAATTGGAGGATGAGCTGCAAGGAAAAGAAAGGAATTGGCGATCGCAAAGAAATGAATGGCGAAATGAAATAGACAGACTGCAAGAAGAAATAGACAAACAGCAGAAACTACTTTCTATTAATTTAAGCAAATCGCCGGAAATTCAAGCGGAACTTTACATGCAGCATGAGGTTGCCAGATTAGCGTCTGAAAATCTAGTAAGTGAAACAAATTTTTTTATCATAATAATATAAAATTGATTATATTAGTTTGAGTCAATTTTGTTGCATCGCTTTTGTTTCTAATCACAATTCTAATTTATTAATATAATGTGTTTGACTTGATATTCAGTTATGTTTTTAATAATGTATCGAATAAAAGTTATTTTGTTTAAAAAGATTTGTATAATGGCTTAAATAAAATAACTTATATTTGAAACATTTTTTATTTAATCTATTATAAAAATAAATAAATATATATATCAATTAAAATGTAAAAAAATGTAAAAAAATATAAATATATATATATACAGGGTGGGGCATTTATCTTGAGACAAGATAATATCTCGATTGGAGTCGATTATTTTGAAAAAAGTTTTAGACAAAAGTTGTATGGTTTCAAGGGGGACATAAGATGGTGTTATTAGTTTGATCTTGAAGAGCCACCTGAAGGACACGCGAAGGTCAGCTCCAACTTTTTAAATGGGACACCCTATATGCTTTTGCATATTCTTGTAGCTCATCTCAAGAGCTTTCCAAAACACTATAATTAAGTTAGTTTTCATTAAGTACTTTCCAAGTTATGAGGCTTGAAATCATTTTTTAATTTTACATAAACCGTAAAATATCTTGTAAAATATTCATTTTTCGATTATTTTACCTTAATACTTTTATGTACAAAATAATGAGAGGAATCAATTGGTGTAAAGAAAAGACATAGTTATTTTTAAGAAAAAATATGTAATTGTTAATTGCAAATTACATTTTTTTTTTCGAAACAACTATGAGTTTTCTTTACATCAATTGATTTTTCTCATTATTTTGTACATAAAAGTATTAAGGTAAAATAATCGAAAAATGAATATTTTACAAGATATTTTACGGTTTATGTAAAATTAAAAAATGATTTCAAGCCTCATAACTTGGAAAGTACTTAATGAAAACTAACTTAATTATAGTGTTTTGGAAAGCTCTTGAGATGAGCTACAAGAATATGCAAAAGCATATAAAGTGTCCCATTTAAAAAGTTGGAGCTGACCTTCGCGTGTCCTTCAGGTGGCTCTTCAAGATCAAACTAATGACACCATTTTATGTCCCCCTTGAAACCATACAACTTTTGTCTAAAACTTTTTTCAAAATAATCGACTCCAATCGAGATATTATCTTGTCTCAAGATAAATGCCCCACCCTGTATATATATATATATATATATATATATATATATATATATAATATACAAATACATATATATATTTTTTTACACGTATGTTAAAGGATCTTCAAGAAAAATATGATAAAATAGTAGAGGAATGCAGGTGTTATAAGAAACAATGTACAATCCTGGCGATGCGATTAAAGGATGCAGATTGTAAGTATGATAATTATGCCTATTGAAAATAAAAAATATCAATAGAGAGAGAGGTATTGAAAAATTTTTTAATAACATCGAGTATGCACACATACACATATAAACATATTTTAAATTACTTTATCTTAATGCTTCCAAAAGCGAAGGAGAACGTCCTTATGTGCTAAAAAACGTCATTGAGTGTGGTCTTAAACCATTTTATCAATTGAAAAAAATTGTATACATCGTACAATAAGCAGTTACATTAGTTAAAAGATAAACATTTCGTGTTTAAAAATATTATATTTATAAATATTATATTAAAATAAATATTATATTTATTAGAAAACAAAAATTAAAAGATGCCGAAAGAAAAAACAGATTTTTCAAATAGTTCGATAATACGTCATATGGACCATAATTCACTATCGCTTGCATATTGTGTCGAGTACGCGACATAGTTCGACATAGTAAAAAAAAATTTGAGAAGCCTCTAAAAATCGCATGGAATATGAAAATTTCAATTTCTTTCAGTGCCTAATGCGGTAGAATACGCAAACAGATCCGTCATTGTTTCCAGTATTCAAGGTGGAAGTAATATGCCTACCATTCATAAGAAAAAAAGAGATTATGAAGGAATGTTTGAATTCAGAAAGGAAGATATCAACGTTATTATACGTCATCTAGTCATTGGTAAATATCTCGCACACGTTGTATCGTTAATTAACTTTCCTTAAATTTCAATCAATATCTATCAAGTAAAGCTCATATATTTCCTTATTTCCTTAAATAGATGTATATAGAAATTTTCTCTATTTTACATCTATTATACAGGGTGTCCCAAAAGTCCCGGATCAGTTGAATATTTCATAAACTATGCACTTTAGAAAGAAATGTTTTAGACAAAAGTTGTATGGCTTGAAGAGGGATATCAGATAGTGGCAATGATTTGACATGGGAGAGTCATTTGAGAGTCACGTGAGGATCACTGTCAATTTTTTAAATGGAACCACCTATTTTTTATTAAATATTCTGGTAGCCCACGTCGAGAGCTTTTCAAAACACTACAATTAAGTTAATTTTCATTAAGTACTTTCCGAGTTATGAGGCTTGAAATCATTTCTTAATTTTACATAAACCGTAAAATATCTTGTGAAATATTCATTTTTCGATTATCTTACCTTAATAATTTGATGTACAAAATAATGAGAAGAATCAATTGGTGTAAAGAAAAAACATAATTGTTCCGAAGAAAAAATATGTAATTGTTAATTTGCAATTAACAATTACATATTTTTTCTTAAAAACAACTGTGTGTTTTCTTTACACCAATTGATTCCTCTCATTATTTTGTACATAAAAGTATTAAGGTAAGATAATAAAAAAATGAATATTTTACTAGATATTTTATGGTTTATGTAAAATTGAAAAATTATTTCAAGCCTCATAACTCGAAAAGTACTCAATGAAGAAATACTTTATTATAGTGTTTTGGAAAGCTCTCGAGATAAGCTACACGAATATGTAATAAAAAATAGGGGGTTCCATTTAAGAAATTGACAGTGATCTTCACGTGACTTTCAAATGACTCTCCCATGTCAAATCATTGCCACTATCTGATGGTCCCCTTCAAGCCATACAACTTTTGTCTGAAACATTTCTTTCTAAAGTGCATAGTTTATGAAATATTCGACCGGTCCGGGACTTTTGGGACGCTATGTATGATTATAAGATATTATTATACATTTAAATTTATGAATATTTTGCATTCTGTTTAGAACTGAAGCCCTCTACAGCGGTGACTCTGCTACCGGGTTTACCGTCCTACATCCTTTTCATGTGCATCAGACACACTGATTACATCAACGACGACGATAAAGTACGATCGTTGTTGACCGAATATTTGAACGCTGTTAAACGTGTGCTGAAGAAATGTGATGACTTCGACTTCAGAGTGCTCTGGCTGAATAACATTCTGAGACTGTTGCATAACATGAAACAATACTCTGGCGACAAGCCGTTGCAGATCGAGAATACATCTAGACAGAACGAGCAATGCTTGAGGAACTTCGACCTGAGCGAATATCGCGTCGTGCTGAGTAATGTGGCGCTCTGGATTTTCAATAATCTCGTCACGAGTCTCAAGGAGAGAGTCCAAGCGCTCACGGTACCGGCCTTGCTGGAGCATGAGGCCATACCTGTGCCCGATAAAACCGATCGGCTCAGGTCGACGATGAGATTGGATTCCACACAACAGAAACTGGAGAAACTTCTCGCCGAATTGACATCGATGCACAAGACTCTGCAGAATCACGGCGTCGATTCCGAAATTGTGACGCAGCTGTTCAGGCAACTATTTTACTTCATGTGCGCCAGCGCTCTGAACAATTTGCTTCTAAGGAACGAATTCTGCCGGTGGACGAAGGGTATGCAAATAAGGTACGACAGGTATCTCGATTATTTGTTTACCTGCCGAAATAAATTCGACACGAATATAATTTTGCATTGCAAGAAATATGGGGCTTAAAAAAATCGATGAAGAAATTTACTTTGTAAATTAATAGATTTTTTATCTCTTCGCGAAATTTTGCGAAGGACTGTATTTTGCTTGGTTTTGTTATTTGTGTAATAGAATGTATTGTATATATATTTCTTGCAATAATATATAATATTCTTTATCAAGGTATAATATGAGCCATTTAGAACAATGGGGTAGAGATCGACGACTAGAAATTGCATCTGAAGCATTGCGACCCATCATACAGGCATCGCAGCTTCTGCAAGCGCGTAAAACGGATGAAGATGTTAATTCCGTCTGCGAAATGTGCAACAAGCTGACGGCTAATCAAATAGTGAAAATTCTGAACTTATACACCCCAGCCGACGATTACGAAAGTCGAGTTCCTGTTTCGTTTATTAAAAAGGTACAGGATAAACTAAAAGAACGCGGCGAGAACAACGAACAGGTAAGCTTTTTTGCGCCGATAAAAAGTTAGTTAATTTTCTTAGAATTAATCAAAGGAACTAAAGCATAAGTTTATTAATCGCTCTCCCAAATATGAATAATTTATACAAGATTAAGATAGCGAAATAATTTTTTGCAACATCTAATTACCGCATTTTTCATTTTCAGCTGTTAATGGATTTAAATTATTCTTATCCTATAAGATTTCCATTCAATCCATCGGACATTCGATTGGAAGACATCGAAGTACCCGAAGTACTTCATTTGTCTATGCTCAAAAAGGTATAATTTAATAAAGCAAGCATAATTGTGATAAAGATTCCTTTGTTCTATACTTTGATTGAAAATGTTATTTTCGCGGATAATCAAACTCGTTTAATTCGATCTTTATTTGAAAGTTAGCGATATCAATAAAATCCGATTAAATTAAACGTAGACATATCGGAAGTGGTTCATCATGATATATGTATCATGTTTTATATGTTGTGTTTTTTTTACTTGGCTAATTCAGATTTTATGATATATCGTCGTCTCAAATAGCGCTCGCGTTTAAAGTAAATTACTGCCGTGTATATGTGATCGAATTTTGATGAGAATGATCGATATTTTTTGTTATTATTGCTGAATATCGTTATATATCGAAGTGTAAAAAGAAAACGTATATAAATATAAAATTCCTATAAGGATTTTGTTTCGAATATTTCCTTATAAGTTTCAGTATTGAGATGAACTTTGGAGAAATAATAATTTTATCATTTGTATTACATGTATATTTATAATACATTAATATTATATTTATAATACATTTGTATTATATTTATAATACAAATTATAAAAAATGTATTATGTTTATTATTATATTATATATTAATAAATATAATATTATAATAAAATACATTGTAATATAAAAATATAATATTATACCGATGTATTATGTTTATTATTTTTTTTGAGATGAACTTTGGAGAAATAATAATTTTATCATTTGTATTATATTTATAATACATTAATATTATATTTATAATACATTTGTATTATAAATATAATACAAATTATAAAAAATGTATTATGTTTATTATTATATTATATTAATAAATATAATATTATAATAAAATACATTGTAATATAAAAATATAATATTATACCGATGTATTATGTTTATTATTTTTTTTTGTTCCATCTCGGAATTTCTAAAATAAATTTTCTAATTTGTTTAAATCTATTGTTGATGTTGTTTCTTTAATTTTAGAAGTTAAATATATATAAATTTGTAGAGATGCTATTCTTTCAATCCGTTAATTTTGTAATATATAAGAAATATATTTATCTCATTTCAATAAAATATAACATAATGAAGTTTCCAAAAATAAGAGTCAAATAAAATTGCAAATCATTGCGTTTTCTTCGGATATGGAACAATTTTTATGATTCTGAAAAAAACGATAATAAAGACTAAATACAAAATTTTAAGTGTATATATATATATATATATATATATATATATATGTGTGTGTGTGTGTGTGTGTGTGTGTGTGTGTATGTAAATACCGAAACTTTATTATTTTGTATCGCAAATCCTTGTACGAATTTTGTAAGAATTTTGTATTTTAAAGTTTAAAACTTGTTGAAGATGTAATTAATGTATAAAAAAGATTTGTATGTGTGCGAAAAATAGAAAAAGAAAGGAAAGATATAATTATACGTTGCGAAAGAAAGGAAAGATATAATTATACGTTACAGATTGTATATTTTGATATGAGAGAGAAACAGAAGAATTATTATAAAAAAATGAGTTTGTCGATTTAAGAATGAGGTAAACAAAAATAGGAAGGTGATCGAAAGAAATAAGGAGGATATATTGTTATATTTTAATTTATAAACTTATGTACACATGCAATTGTGTATTTTGTGCCATTTTACGAATAGAACGTAACAATATTTGTTACTTCATCCAATTGTCACTGATTTTATGCATTAAAACATTGATATCTGGAGAAAAAAAGAGAAAGAATATATTTTCTCTCGAGAAATGGACAGAATATCTTTACACAATTATACGCATCTTGATTCGATGTGACATATTTATTTGTTGCTAAAATGAAAATAAAACCGTTGATAACTGTGTTTACCCCATTTTTCGTGCTTTTTACATTAAAAGTAATAAAAATAATCTTTTTTATTATATATCAAAAATCATACATCATTAAAGTTTTCGCAATAATTTGCATATAATATGAAAACATTTTTAAGTTTTTTTGAAAGGAGAGACAGACAGTATAAAATTCAGGCTCACGAAAAGAATTTAACAACCTTATTAACTATCATCTAAATTCGCGTTAATATAATTATTATTCGTCCGGGTTCATCAGGCAAAGTATTATACTTTCACATAAACAACGGCATTGTCGCCGAACAGTATGAATTTCATTTGTTTAAATCTAATACTGTGTTTCTATGTCATTTACTATAACATCATAATTTATACTATAAAAAATTATGATATTATCTCTGATTTTTGTATTAGTGTGATGACATTGGTATGATGACGAGAGCATTTAATTTAGATACTTTCCCATACAGCACAGAATATTGAAGCAATATTATTAATATTGTTGTAACATTGCAGCTGTATTGCAATATTGACGTATTGCTACAACGTTCCGTGCTGTTTATCTTTCTTGCAATACTGTCTGTCTCTCCTTTCAAAAAAACTTAAAACATTTTTAAGTTTTTTTGAAAGGAGAGACAGACAGTATTGCAAGAAAGATAAACAGCACGGAACGTTGTAGCAATACGTCAATATTGCAATACAGCTGCAATGTTACAACAATATTAATAATATTGCTTCAATATTCTGTGCTGTATGGGAAAGTATCTAAATTAAATGCTCTCGTCATCATACTAATGTCATCACACTAATACAAAAATCAGAGATAATATCATAATTTGTTATAGTATAAATTATGATGTTATAGTAAATGACATAGAAACACAGTATTAGATTTAAACAAATGAAATTCATAATGTTCGACGACAATGCCGTTGTCTATGTGAAAGTACTTTGCCTGATGAACCCGGACGAATAATAATTATATTAACGCGAATTTAGATGATAGTTAATAAGGTTGTTAAATTCTTTTCGTGAGCCTGAATTTTATGAAAGATGATTTTTTAAAATAAAGATACTAATAGAAACTAGTTTGTTTTTTTTATAAAATTATTTGTAAATTGAAGTTTCTCATTAATATAAACTTACAAACTAATCAAATTGCAAAACCTGTTATTGGAAGAATAAAATTCATATTTTATTTTTTTTAATTATAAGACTTATATAAAGATCACATCAAAGATAACATAATTCTCGGACTTTCGTGATTTTTTTTCAAGACTAAAATTAATAACTACCAGTGCGGGAAAGTCATTGCCGAGAGATCTTAAATGTAAGATCGGACTATTAAATAATATTATTATAAATAGAATAGTAATTTTTATGATCAAACGGTAAATTCCTCCTTCTCTTATCGTACGTAAATGATATATCTTAATATTGAAAGCTGAAATGACAAAAAATTACAGTATTCGTTAACCAAATCGATGACCTCGTGTTGTTTATGCATCATTCCAAAAAGGAAAAAGCAGGTTATCGTTGCAATGAATTTGAAAATGAATTGACAAATCGATGATCAATTAAATAACGATTACACAGAAAATGAAAAAAAAAACTGTCGATTTACAATTTCACGATTCGCTCAATATATTGATGGCTACGTTGAACGCAACAACGCTGTATCAAACCGAATGACGCAAAAGAGGTCTTCAAATACAATCCGGTGCAAGCGATGCAGCAGCTGCGTACTTGTGGTGTTCTGGAGATCACCAGGATCTCGGTCATAGAACTGCCGAGCCAACGAATACACAGTGATTTCTTCTAGAGGTATCACTCTCTCCGTAGATTTAAGGAGATACAACGAGATGATCTGAAGGAAACTTGTCGACGTATACTGGCCAGGTATATCAATGATGAGGACAAGTTCAAGTTTGGCCAGACTAAGGTGCTCTTTCGAGCTGGCCAAGTATCGTACTTAGAAAAACTACGAAGAGAGACAGATGTCTACGTAATGATCTAGAAAATGATGCGCAATCTGATCTACTGTAACAGGTACATGAAGATCCGTTGGTCGATCTTCTGCAGCAACAGCACCGACCGGGAATCGAACCCGAGTCTTTCATTTTCCAGGCAACTGTTCTTAACCGCTGGACTATCAGACCTCACACCTAATGCCGCTACTTAATATCTATAAAAATAATTTATGTTAATGATATATAAATAATATAATAAGATCTTACCAGGGTTGGGTAATAACTAGTTTATATTAGTTAAAAGTTAAAAAAAAAGTTAAAAGTTAAATAATTTTTAACTCAGTTAACTTAGTTATTTTAAAATGAATTAACTTTTAACTTTAATTAGTTATTTTTGAAACACGTAAACTTAAACTTATTAACTTTCCCTCCAAATTTATTTGATGATTATATATCATATTATTATTATTTAGAGTAATCTAATTTTAAAATTACAATCTAATTTAATATAAAGTGAAATAATGCTTTTCAAAATTTTAACTTTTATCTTAACTAACATTAATTTAATTTTAACGTAACTTTTATTGAGTTAATTTTTTATTTGTATAACTTAACATAACTAAATTAATTTTTTAACCCATTAACTTTAATACTTAACTTAATTTAGTTTAAAAAAAATATAAACACCCAACCCTGGATATTACTAGTATTAATGGGATATACATATTTTATTTTTAATGATGATTATATTAAGACTGACAAAATATTTAATGAATATTATATATTCAACAGACATGATTCAATGAATTATTTCGATATTAAAAGAGGTGTCATGATAGAATGATCGTTATAATAGTAAAAGCTTTATTTGATATATTCATTCTTCATTTTTATGAATATAATTATGAATATAATTTTTCTGAAGTTTTATATTTTTATTTCTATATAATATGAATAAACCCTATAAGCACACAATATTCCTAGGATATTGTATAAATATATATTATTAACTGTTAATAATATTTATACAATATTTTAGGAATATTGTGTCTTATAGGGAAAATGATAACTGATTTTATTAAATGAAATATTCTATTATATTATTTATATATTATTAATATAAATTATTTATAGATATTATTAATAATATAATATATATTAATTATATATTATATTTATTTATATTATTTATATTTATATGGGGAGTTGGGAAGTTAAGAGAAGGATAATAAGTTAGATGATTATAATAGATTGGTAAAATAATTATTATAAGATAATTAATTTTTATATAGGATTGAAAAAATTTTATAAGACTGATATTTATAAAATGATTAGATAATAATTAATATTATAAGGTAAAGTTTTAAGTTAAGATTTAATTTATAACAAAATAAAATTTATATAAAAATTATATAAAAAATTATATTAAAATATAAAAATATATATTCATAAATTAATTAAATAAATAATTATAATTAAATAATTAAATAAATAATTAAATAAATAATTATAAATAAGTTGCCAGTTCCTTTTTGAACAAAAAT